GTGGCTTCTTGGCGTGTACACTTTTTGATTCAAAGAACAGCTGAAATCAGCTGTGGAACCTTTTACTGTAATAGATTTAAACTTCCTCTCCTGGAAATTGCACTTGTTTTTGACTGTCCCTTCTGCCAGAAAAAGCGGCGAGACTACAAGCAGAGTTGTCTCCTCTTCCACTCAGAAAACAGTTTACATTTACCCTCCCTTTTTTTCCTTCTTACCAAAAAACTGTTTGTGCTTTAATGTCAGTTGCATAATTAAAATGAAAACCTCTGTTTTTGTTAGGAATAGAGGTTCCAATTGGCACTTTTCCAGCTGACTAAGACGTTAAATGGGTTAATGGTGGGAAGGAAAGAATCCAGGTTCCTTCATTACACTGGAGATCAAGCTATTTATATTTGACATCCTCACGCTCCTTCCCCCTTGCAAATGTAATACTGTGCTGGATTCTATTACAGATCTTGTTCTCCTGTGCAAGCTCCCCCTGCAAACTCTTCTCCTTTCAACCCAAAACAAGAATTGGCAGAGCTGGAGATGACTCATTTTGCATGTTTCTTGATGTCTAAACTTCAGCTTCCATGTTTACCATGTGGAGACTGGCAATCAACATAGGACTAACTGCTCCAGTGAAAATTGAGACAGCTTCTTTCCCTTGAGCAACAATGCCAACAGTGCTTCACTTCTATTAACTCACCATTTTGTGAGCCCTGTTGGTACTTTAGATGGGTGATTTTCATAGTGGTTGCATCCTACCCCCTTTCTCCTGCTTCTGGCTGAAAAAAACAGGGAAAAGTTTAAACCATGGCATCACTTTTTGGGGGAGTGCTGCATCACTTTCCCCTCCCCTCTCCTCTGCCCCCTGAGTTCAAGCACTAGATCATTTCATATAAGCTGTAAATATGTAGCTGATCTCATACAGGCTGAGAGAGTCAGAGAATAATGTATAAATTCACACCTGATGGTTCAAAGCTTTGATGATGAGAGAAGGATTTTTAGATAATTGCAGACCAGGAAATATTGAATATCATCTTCTCTCAAACAAGGTTGAAATGTGGACTGACAGCCTGATGCATGCTTCCACGCAGGCCCCAGCCACCCTTCAACTGTTGTTCAGACTAAGCCACCCTTCCAGACTGGCATCACTAGAGAATCTGAGAAGGGTGCAGCACTGAACTTTCAAATTCTTGTGAAGCGTGAGAGAATTAGCATTCATGACATTAGGCCAGAGAAAATTCACCATAAATGGATTGTGTGGGTAACCCACCTCCTTCATAAAGCTTTTCAGCAATAATGTGTACATGCTACTCTTTGTTTCTTAAATTCATTGCCGTCTGTATTCATGTCTTTAGATGAGAGCCCTCCGGAGCAGAGATTTGTTTTTTGTTAGGTAGAGTTTACCTGTGTTAGAGCCCAATATACATATAGTCCAGTGCCCCAGTTTTGCTTTGACATAAGGCATCTGGCATAGAGGACCAAATACTGATGCCACTGAGTAGTTGAGATCTCAATGATACTGTCCAGTTATTACTTGATGTTAGTAAGGGTGTTGGAATCTGGCCCTTACTGACTCTCATGCTCCTCTGAAATGAATGTGATCCCTTAATTATGTTTTGATGTAGAGTATTTTACAGTCATGATAGAGAATCAACATCTTAAACCCTGTTTCTCCTCTATTTTTGTGAGCTGTTGTCTAACCAAATTACTGACACAATAAATCATCTGAATAGCAATTCAAAGTCACTAAACAATTCATCATATCACAATTTTACTAATTATTCCCCTTTTTATTTACTTTATTGATGACTGTCCATCACTTCTAAGAATTAGTCTTCCTGAGCACTAATCACTCTACGCTTTAAGGAAGCTTTTGTGTTCTAAATCTTCTCTTTTTGTTTTTGCTGGCAGCATGCATTTGGCCATATGCTCTGCTTATACTGGATGCCAAATTCTTGGATTCTCAGGCTTGTTAAGCTGTGTAAAATGTTGTTGTTGATTTGAATGAGAAGAAAAGTAAGTGAATGATTACACTTGTTGTTATGGCCATCTGTGTGTGAGAACCAGGCCTCTCACTTGACAGGAACTGTTAAAACAGACAAACTGTGTAAAATAATTAAAATATTAAAATATCTTCTGGCCACCCACATTTCATCAGTGTGACTTTTATAGGAATGATGAAAAGTAAGGGACAAATTCTACTGTCCTTAACTGAGGAAAAACTCTGATTAACTTCAGAGGGAATCTTCCTTAAGGACTGGAGAATTTGGCCCTGAGGTATTAGGGGGGGTCTCGTTGAAGAGGGGAGGGGAGAAAGTTGAAAAGATAGAAACTTATTAGTGTTTAGCAAAGGGCAGTTTTCAAACTCTTTAGGACCACTATACTCTTGGATTTGAAATTGAATCAGAAACCATAGAGCAGTGGAGACAGTGAGGCATGGATTAAGCTAGTAGAACAGAGGTGGGCAAACTCGGCCCGCAGGCTCGTCCTGCCTGGCCCCTGAGCTCCCTCCCCCGCTGTCCCCCCTTCCCTGCAGCGCGTCTTGTGCCTTCCCACCTCTCAGGCTTTCCAACAAGCCTGTCCTGCTGCTCTGAGCAGCCTGGTAAGGGAGCAGGGGTAGTGGGGGACAGGAGGTTCCGGGGGGCAGTCACGGGACAGGGGGTGGTCAGATGGGGCGGAGGTTTGGGGAGGGGGGCTGTCAGGAGACAGGGAGCAGGGGGGGTTGGATGGGTGTGGGGTCCTGGGTGGTCCCGATGGGGGGGGACAGAGAGTAGGGGGTGGGGTCCTGGGGGGGCAGTTAGGGACGGGGGTCCCAGGAGGGGATGGTCAGGGGACAAGAAGTAGGGGGGGTGGGTGAGTCAGGGGTCCTGGGGGGCCTGTCAGGGGGCAGGGGTGTGGATAGGGGTTGGGGCGGTCAGGGGACAAGGAGCAGGGGGACTTAGATAGGTGGTGGGGTCCCGGGGCGTGGTTAGGGGTAGGGGACCCCGGGAGGGGACGGTCAGGGGACAAGGACCAGGGGGTTGGATGGGTCAGGGGTTCTGAGGGAGGCAGTCAGGGGGCAGGAAGTGGGAGGGGTGGATAGGGGGCAGGGTCCAGGCTGTTTGGGGAGGCACAGCCTTCCCTACCCAGTCCTCCATACCGTTTCGCAACCCCGATGTGGCCCTCGGGCCAAAAAGTTTGCCCACCCCTGTAGTAGAGTAAAGACACATGTACCTGGAGTACTGTACTCCACAAGTTCTCAACTGGCCCAAGCCATGCCTCCTGTCTAAACTGCTATTTTTTAGCAGTGTAGTGTCCTGCTGCCTTCCTACTGCTGGAGCCTTTCCTGTCCACAGGAAAAGACTCCAACAGCGGGGGAACAGCTGGAAAGGCTGCTGGAGCCCTTTGCCACCGCAGGGAAAGTCTCCAGGAGTGGGGAAAGGCTCCGATGGCAGGTGAGCAGCCTTTCCCTTACTGTCTCCCCTCCTCTTCCTTGCTGCAGTGAAAGGCTCTGGCAATGAGGAGTAGCTAAAGCTGCCTTTCCTCTGCCGGAGCCTTTCACTGACGTGTAGCTACACACTGTCATGTGGACATAGTGTGCTTTTCTCTGTGGCTTGTATTTAGCTGCATGTAAACTACACACCACCAAAAATGGTGTATAGTGTAGACATAGCCACAGAGATGGAGAAAACCTTTTAGGTCAGATATTAATTACTCTAAGGTATGAGTATTGAGAATTGTTCTCCTCTGTGTTTCTCCTTGTGTTTTGTCGAGTTTGGTTTTGAACTTCTGCATGGATGGGGCTTTCACCACTTCCTTTGGAAGAGTGTTTTGTGGTTTAATGACCTCACCATGAAAAACTTTCCATGATTTTAAGTGTGGTCTAAAAGAATGTGCACAGGGTGGGGAGTAAGGTGGTCCAGAGTTCTAATCCTGGCTCTGCCATTGATTCACAGTGTGTTTTTAGGTGAGTCATTTCACTCTCTTATCCCGCCTGTTATTTGGGGTAATAATACCTACCTACCTTGTAGGATTGTTGTCAGGATTAATTAGTTAATGTCTGGTACAGTGCATTGAACATATAATATGCTAAGTATTGTTCATTTAATGCCATTTCTTTTCTAGTATGTCTACACTTCAAGCTGGCTGCGTGATTCCCAGTTTGAGGAGACATACCCACACTAGCTCTGATCAAGCTAATGTGCTAAAAATAGAGTGTAGGCACAGCAACATGAGCAATGGGAGGGGCATCAGCCCCAGATATGTGTCCAAGGTCTCGGACAGGATCATACTTGGGGCAGCTATCCCCTCCTGTTGCTTCCACTGCCATGGCTATGCTCTATTTTTACAGTGCAAGCTCGATCAGAGAGAGCATGGATGTGTCTCCTGGAGTTGGTAATCACACCCCTTGCTGGAAGGGTAGACATACGCTGACAGTACTTGTGCGCCTTAAAGCTTTCAACACAGTGGGTGGGTGAACCCTTTCCCTCCTCTACACAGTATTTTATGTGCTGAAATGAAACTGTATGTTGTAAAAAGAATCCTCATCATTGCTAGATATACTGAGTGCATGTGGTATAAGAGACAGCACTTGATATCTTGGTTCCAAAAGCTTAAGTCTCTACCACTTGTACTAAATGAGTCTGTTAGTTGTTGTAAAGTTATGGTTGCAGCCACAAGGTGGAGTCATAAAACTCTGGAGGAGGTTTGACATTCCAGGCAATAGAGAGCAGTAGTACACACTTAGGTCCTGATCCTGCAATAACTTATGCACATGCTTAACTCTATGTGCTTAAGTAGAGTTAAATATGGGTGTGTTTGCAGGATTGGGACCGTAGGCACATCAGGAGAGTGTGGACTCATTCTTATCTTCTGGAGAAGTGAAGAAATTCATAACCCATGCCTGTAAATGAAACCTGGGTATTATGTTCAGATTTCATTGACCATAATGATACGCAGTACTCAGACTATGTGTTCAAATGTATCAAGATGGCAGCCACACAGTATTTAACCTTTTCAATGTTCTCTTTTAGCACTGCTTTAAAGGTCACTGCATCTGGTTAACTCCAGATATCTTGAAACAGGACGGAAATTGGGGAGCATGGAGTAAGTTTGGCTCCTGTTCTCGAACGTGCGGTACAGGGGTAAAATACAGGACACGGCAATGTGACAATCCACAGTAAGTTCAACATACCCCAGTTTTTTTTCTTATATAAAGTGAATGATTGTGGAGGAATTCCTTTTAATTTACTGATAAAGTAATGCACCAAGGAATATTGCATACTGGAGGTTAAAAACAGGGTATGTCTACACTTACGGAGGCGTGTAGAGTACAGACACTGCATGCACAGCTAGCATGGGTATAAATAGCAGTATAGATGGTGAGGCACAGCTTAGGGGAGTAGAGAAGAGAGCCTGAACCCCCAGGATGTACTCTTGAAACGCCCTAGCAGTGCCTCCCATGTCTACAGTGCTATTTGTAGTGAAAGGCTCCAGCAGTGGGGAAAGGCTCTGGCAGTGGGGAGCTGCCAGAATTTTTCTTTGCTGCCTCCCTGCTGCCGGAACCTTTCACTGTGGTGTGTAGTTACACTGTGGTGTGTACTGCACGCCACCATAAGTGTAAACATAGCCTGAGAGTTCAAACTCCTGGATTATGTGCTGCCAAAATTTCTACTGACCCACTTTTTACACAAGGGTAGATCATTTATCTTCTATGTACCTCAGTGTACCCATCTATGAAGCTGGTTATAACAGTACAATACGTTACAGGGGTCTTGAAAGCATTATTGTATTATCAACATCAATGAAAGTTGAAACAGTCCCTAAGGGATTTGTAAAAACAAAAAACCCTTGCTTCATTCATTAACGCTATAGTTAACCATTATTTTTCTTTCCTATTCACAGCCCAGCTAATGGAGGCCGTACATGCATAGGGCCAACCTATGAGTTCCAGCTTTGCAACACTCAAGATTGTCCCAAGGAGTTTGATGATTTCAGAGAGGAGCAGTGTAGACAATGGGATCCTTACTTTGAATATCAGAATATGAAACACCACTGGCTCCCATATGAGCATCTCGATGGTTAGTAATTCCCCATCTTGTTCTAATGTTGTCGTAGCAAATTTAGTCCCAGTCTGACCGCTCTGGGGACAGAAATTCATTGTCTACCAATGAGGTGCCACATGGTCATTAGCACTGCAGGCTTCCCCAGGTCCCCTTACCAATGTGCATCAACCTGGTGCAGGAGAGAGCCCCTCTTGGTGTGAACAGAGAGTTCTGCTTTCCATGCTGGCTCAATCCTTGGCTCTTCTGCTTGTGCTGTCAGCAAAGTTGCAGACCGTTGATACAGATGCAGAAACGGGTTGTGCATGTTAGTTTGTAACCTTAATGTATTGAAAACATGATGAGGGAGATAAAAAAAACAAATTTCAGACTTTACGATAGTCAATAGGAGCTGCTGTGCATCTTTAAAATCAGAACATTTAGTTCAGTTCCTTAGTACGGATTAAGAGTCCTAACAGGCAGCCAAGTTTTAAAATTTTGGCCACAGTAAAGAATGGATAATAGGGAACCCAGGTGCCAAAGCATCCATTTTTTGCCAGAGTTGGCCGCATCTGGTTTCTCAGATCCCAATAGAGGAAAGGCTCTTCTTAAGGTCAATCGTAATGTATTAAACTTGAGAGTTGATGGGAACCAGGAGTTGATGGCAAAATGCCCATGTAGTTCATTTGTCTGAATTGCTCCCCAAAACAATTTTCACTATTGCTTTACTTGTTTCTTCAGTTCTTGTGCAAGCTAGGATTTGAAGAGGAGCAGATGCAGATAGCTTCATGGCTTCATCTCAAGATGTACATTTTCTTCCACAGAGAGGGGGAGAACAGTGTGGCCCACAGACCTGTGTGTATGAAATATTCTTCTACAGCCTGACCCAAAGCCCACTGAAGCTAATGGGATTCTTTTCATTGACTTCAGTGGGCTTTAGATCAGACAACTACCTTGTCTGCTCTGTTTTTATATCAGTATATCTGGTTTAGTTAGGGGTGTGATATTTTACTGAAATAATTATACCATCTTATTCCCCTTCCTGGGCAGAAATAAGGCTACAGGTGCCAGTAAAGCTGCATCCACACGTGGGGAGCTGTGCCATTTAATTATATACCAGTATAGTTAAAGGGATACAACTTTGGTGTGTAGACAAGCCTTAAGTTCATAAAAGTATGGTATAAAGTGCAGTTCTAACATATTCAGGGCCACACATTACCCTCTTATGAAGATAAGTGCACATAAATTGAATATTTTAGTGGATATACAGTATTCAGAGTCTGGGAGCAACATACATTTTTATCTTACCCTGTCTTTTCTCTAGAGAGTCACTTTGGCAGATCTGCCTGAAGTTAGGGTCTCCGTCTCCCTTCATTTGACTAGTGGTTGTCTTCCTTGTGTTAATCCCATCTAATGGGGACAGCTCTGTTAGTCCTCTCCCTCTAAAATGGTCTGTTCAATGCCATATCCTGTATCACATCACATGTTAACAAATCTTCCTTTATGACATCCCACCATTTTTTCTTGGGTTGGCCTCTCTGTCTTTTTCCTTCGGTCTTGCTCTGTTGGACTCTCTTACCCACATAGTTGTCAGGACTGCTCTTTATATGACCAAACCATCTGACCTTGCACTCACTCACTTTTTCACTTATGGGTGTTACTTTGAACATGCCTCTAACATACTCATTCTTCACATGGTCTGTCTTGCTTACACCACTCATCCATTTGCATTTCTGTGGAACAGATCGTTTGCTCGTAGTTCTTCTTTGTTGCCCAACACTCAGTGCCATACATTAAAATTGGACAGGCCACCATTTTATAGACTTTCCCTTTTAATTTTACTGGTATCTTCCTGTCACACACACCACCACTTATCTCTCTCCATCTGAGCCTGGCATTTATTATTGTAGCTCTAATTTCCTCCTCAATTTCCACATTTTCCCAGATTCTGAAGCCCAGATACTTGAAAGTTTGTGTTTTCGGCATTGTCTGCCCATCTAGTGTCAAGGATAATACTTCCATGTTCGCATTATTGAAACTGCATACCATCCTGCATACTGTTTTTCCTCTCCTTATTTTGAGCCCATGTCTCTCCATCACATTTCTCCATTTATCAAGATCCTCTTTTAGACTGTCCTTCTCCTCATTGCATAGAATCATAGCATCTGCAAACAGCAGGCCACCAAGCTGCTGCTTCGGTATGTTCCTTATAAGGGTATCCAGGACAAGAATAAAAAAGAAAGGGCTTTTAGCTAGCTGTACCCATTATTATCAACTGAACCTCAGAAGGCTTAGAAATTTGGTGTTTTGTCTGTACTGCATGCACATACACATACATTTGGGCTAACTTGTCCCTGTTGGCCTGTGCGCCCACATGATGGCATACAGTGGATTAAGTGCCCACCCTATGTGAGTAGTCAATGGGCAAAGCAAGGGATGTGTGTGAAAATGGGATACAAAGAAGCCATGTTTGAGGACCTAGATTTATTCAGTCCTTAACCAGTCATTTCAGCTCTGTTGCATGTTTTCAGCTCACTCAGAACAGAGTAAAAGAAAGAAATGCAATGGTTCGGCTGTTTGCACACATACTGGTAGTAAAATGACTTTATTCACGGTCTGTCAGAGTGCCTGTCTTGTTTGATGACTTAAGCTATCATAGATCCAAGCACTGCAGTAGAAGAGAAGTATGTTTTTGTTTAGGAGTAAACGGTGTGGTCCAATACTCTCCTAACAGTCTTTGGAAGCCAATGTCACATACAGTGTTGAACTGTCACTATTCAAGGGCAAAACCCTATCTGCTTTTTCAGTTTTATATACCGTGAGGATGAGCACTGAGGCAGAATTCCACCCCTTAGGTAGTGGAGCTCTGAACTGCCCAAACACAGGCCAGATTGCACTGTACAGAATGCAGCCCCCTAAGAAGTAAAATGGCCTATTTGGATATGTCTACACTGCATTGTTAACCCAGGTCTGTGGGACCCGACCTTGTGGACTCAGTGTTTCCAACTACGGCTTGAGCATCCACGCTGCAATTTAAACTGTGGCTTATGATTGCTGGACCTGGGTCCCAGAACCATGCTCATGTATCTGTATTGCACTACACAGACCTCCTGTCTCGCGTCTGCAGCTTGAGCGCTGTCCACTCTGCAAAATGACAGGGCTTGGACCTGAGTCTCAGGGGGGCTCGGGCTCTGATGCCCCCTCCCACCAGCAGACTCCTATGAGCCAGGTTCTGAGTGCTTGCTGTCCCAGGTCAGACTGATTTGTGTGTAGACAGAAGGTGGCCACGGGCTAAAACCTGAGTTCAGAGCCTGGGCTCAATGTACAGTGTAAACTCAACTAAGTCACTAAGGGTATGTCTACACTGGAAAAAAAAAAAGCTCACGGCAGTGAGTCTCAGAGCCTGTATCAGCTGCCTTAGGCTTGCAGGGCTTGAGCTACAGGGCTAAAAATAGCAGTAGAGACGTTCCCAGTCAGGCTGGAGCTCAGGCTGTGAAACCCGGCCAAAGAGGTCAGTTTACCTGGGCTCTGAGACTCGCAGCTGTGGCTCTTTTTTTGCAGTCAACAAACCCTAAGATACAGTCCCAAGAACAATCCATTGGTTCTTTTTTATCCACCAGTTTCCAACTGAGCCTTCATAGAATAGTGATAATAACAATTTAGCATTTATTGGATGCGGACAGTGTGCTTGGCGCTGTATGAATGATGATGCAGGCTGATAGCTAATACTGCTGCCATTCAAACTGACATTCGTAGCTTGAGCAAAGGAGCGGTTCAAGCTTAACAAAATATGGGGCATTTTGTCTTCTAGCTAAAGAAAGGTGCCACCTATACTGTGAATCCAAGGAGACTGGTGACGTAGTTTATATGAAACGAATGGTACACGATGGAACCCGCTGCTCATATAAAGATTTTTATAGCATCTGTGTGCGAGGGGATTGTTTGGTAAGTAGCATCACTCCTGATGCTTCACTTTTAACATTTTTCAGGACTAGCTGATGCAAAAACTGTCACAATATTGTGTGTGATATTTGCAGTTGCCATCACTTCGCATAGGAATAGATTCCAGCAGCATCTACCTATACGGGTAGTAGTATGTGCCGTGTTTTTAAGATGAACCGTGACAGTTAGCTTTCAGTGAAGCTTTTCCTACATTAGGCTTGATGACGATGGAATGTATAATGAAATATGAACATACAGCAACTTTTGAAGAAAGTGATGTTCAAAGGTATGCTGTATCTATTTGATCTGGCTATAATCACCAACAATTTGTATAAATCGGGATCTGCTATAATTCATTAGTATTTTAAATTACAGTTTGCAATGGAATTATAGCCCTATTCAACAATGATTTCTGCGGGTGTTTATCTTTAAGCAGGTGCTTAAATCCCAGTGGAACTTAAGCATCTGTTTAAAGGTAAGCACAGGCTGAAGACCCTTGAGTTAATAGTGATGCTTTCCTGAACCAGGACCCTAATGAATCACAAAATATATTTACCTAAGCTACAATTACTGTGATGACTGGAAATGTGTGTGTTTAAAAACCTATGGGCACTCTAGGGAAGTACTATAATTTTTTAGCTAATATTAAAAACCTATGTTTGATATCTGAACCCAAGGATCATTTGAGTTAAAGTTTGGATAAACAAGTATCATTGTCTTTCCTCTCTGCTCACAGAAAGTTGGATGTGACAGGGTAATAGGTTCCTCGAAGCAAGAGGATAAGTGTGGTGTCTGTGGTGGAGATAACTCCCACTGCAAGGTGGTGAAAGGAACGTTCTCCAGGGCACCGAAGAAACCAGGTCAGTTCATTCAAGATGTATTGTTCTGGGTGAATGATTTCAGTGAGTTCTCTTGTTTGTTCACTCTGGATCTTTTTGCTACTATGACAAGCACAGGCCTATTGCAGATAGTTTTAGGCTAAGCTATTCCAGCAGACACTGTCAGGACTTTATCTTTGAGATGGGTCTGGAGTTTGGAAGTATGTGAAGACCTTTTCCAGGTCGTCGTCCCTCTATGTTAAGATCAGGGCCTATGCTTGGCACAGGGAAGTGATGTTAATGGTTCCCCCCAAGAGACTTATAGACTGATTCGTGTTGCAGATGTCTCTGCAGACTAATGTAGCTCATCTATTGAATCTGATTCCATGGAATGCTATGACAGTATCTTATCCCCAGTCATTACCAGTCTGGAACCTGGATGTCCTCCTCTTCTGCATTGTGTTTGTTCACTTCAGGAGATAAGGAACCATTTTGGTCTGAAGTGGCATCAGGTTGCTGATGGCATTCAAGCTGTTTTTGTTAACCCAGAGGTCACTGTCTCTTTCCTCTCTCATTACCTGATACAGGAATAGGAATAGCATAATTGCTTATGCCCAGCTTGCTTTAAAACATCCTGAGTTTTGTAAAATAAATCCATTTACATAGAGTAAAACAGACTTGCTCTGTTTTTGTCATATTGACCAGTTATTGTTTTTTTTAAATATTGTAATAAAGGGTACATTAAGATGTTTGAAATTCCTGCTGGTGCAAGGCACTTGCTTGTACAAGAAACAGATGCCACCATTCATAATCTTGGTGAGTATTCATTTGTGATATTTTCTGTACAGGCTTAGTTTGCTTCTCCCCCACCCCCCAACCTTGTAATGTGTTTGTGCATCTGTCTATGCGTAAGAACACTCCTCCCTTTACATGCACAAATCAGGAAACTTACTAGAAAATTGGATCCTAATTCCCTCATATTTTATTACTTAGCACCTTTGCAGGATGATCCCAGAATCACTGTGTGTCTGCTGCTATACGGGGTGATGAATTTCATTGGAGGGTGTGATAGCATTTGCATTGTCTTCACATGTATAGTTCACAATATGCATCCTGTATTCAGCTACTTCCCAGCTACCTCCAAAGCATAGCACTGTCATTCTCTCTGTTTCAAATTCTGCACCATTGTTAATAGTAATGATGCTAGGATGTCCGATCAATCACAAAATTTAGACAGTAATTGAAATCTTCTCCTTACGGTGCAATGGGATCAGTGAGAAGCAATGTCTAATAGGTTGTTATTAATTGAAAGTGGATTCACAGCCAATGGCTTGCTAATTCTGCTATGAATCATTCAAGCTTCTCTTCAGTAAATGCTTCTTAAAAATGCCGTTCATTGCCCTGTGGCAGATCAGAATGGTGACCAATTCAGGAAACACACTAGGCTCATTCTTCATTTGGGGTAAACCAGTTGCATTAGTGTGACCACCCATTCCCTTCAACCTGCTTCTTCACAAGCCTGTACATACTGCTAATATAATTATCCTTCAGGACCCTAGACTGAGACAGTGAACCCAGGGAAATGTGGACATTGCCGGGTGGGGAGATCATTCCTGAGAGGAGTAGGCTGCTCAATCTGCTGTTAGTGAATGGAGTGGATTAAAATCTGTATAGAGATTAAAGAAACACTTTATCTTCAAACTTCAACACAAAACTTAGGTCAACCAGATACCATGGCACAAGATAAACCACTCCCGTCATCCCCATATAAAGGACAGGGTAGAAGACCAGCAACAGATAAACCAATGTGTGGTGTTACCTATTTTACTGCCCAGGCTGAAGAACATATGACCACTTTCCTTATGCCCAGATGTTCCCTGCATGCACCCAGCAGAAGCAGCTCATGACTCTGAATCCAAGTGCAGCAGCTTCAGGCCATGTTTGCTGAACTTGAGGGAAAAAGAGACCGAATTGTTGATAGAAGCAGGATATAGGGATATTGTAGAGCAGGCCCAGCCCAGAACCAGCTCCTCCACTTGGGGAAGCTGGTTTCATCAAGAGGGGGAACAACATGGAATGGAGGAAAGACTCCCTTAGATAGGACCCATGTTCTAACGGGTAGAGGAGGCTGATAGTTGCTGCCGCAATAAAGAGGTTACTCCAGGGGATGGGGATAGAGATGTGAAATGCAGACAGGCTGCAGTGATAGGAATCAGTACATGGTGCCATGAGGTCCACTTGGTGATGCACATCGGGTTACACATTGGTACCTGTATTTTAAGGGTGTGGAGGGTTGTCAGAGATGTCTGGGAGTTGAATTTAGTTTTCTAGAAAAAGTCTTGTGTCAAGACTTTCCCGTTTAGTTTTCTCTAAAATGCCTCCAATTCCACACTCTGTTGAAACCTTAGGGTTTCAATGTATGGATGTGTATATGGAGCAAAGAGGAATAGTTTACATTCATTAGGCACCTGGAAACATTTGGGGAAGGGAAGGTCTATATAGGGAACCAGACTGCTGGTGCATAAATTGACAGAGGCCTACATTTTCCAAAATAACTGGTGCCTGGGGATGCCTCAGTTTTTGAAGCGCTACTAGTTACATCTTAAAGAGGCCTGGTTTTCAGAGGATGAGTACACAGTGCTTTCTGAAGATCAAGCCCTATTAAGCTGTCTCAAAATGAGCCCCTGAAATGGAATCACCCAAAATCACTAGCTACTTCTGAAAATCTTGGCCAGTGGTTGTTGGTTTATTTAAATTATGAGGTGGGGGAAAGCCTGAAGGTGCTGAGGAGTGCTTGAGTCAGATGTACACATTTGCCTGGGATATCAGTAAAACAAAGACCACTCCGGTCTCTGATAGTAGAAGATAGGACAGAAATTAACTAGAGAAGGGATGGATTCAGATCACAGGGGTGTATCCTGGAAAAGTAACTGGAGAAAAATACAAATAGACACAGGGCCAAAAAAAAAAATACACAGAAGTCTCTGTATTAGAGAGAGAAAACAAAATGAGGTAAAGCAGAATGCCTAAAAAATTCTCTCTCAAACCAATGAGAGAACTGGGAAGAACAGACACTGGTATGCTTGGAGCTCTTTCATCTAGCCTTCTACCGAAAAAAATATTAGAAATGAGATGAAAACCCCAAATATTCATGTTTGTTATGTTATTTATAGCAATTAAGAATCGAGAAACAGGGAAATTCGTTTTAAATGAAGACAACTATGTACCAGATTCTAAAGTATTTGTTGACATGGGTGTGGAATGGGAATACCGGAATGATGACGATAGAGAAACAGTGCAGACCATGGGGCCTTTGAGCAATGGAATAGTCATTCTGGTAAGCCACTTGAAAACCATCTTCTGTGGAAGACAGTGTCTGGGTTACACTGAGTCATAATGTTTTATAGTATATTATAGGTTCCTTTTGTGAAACACATTAAGTCATCTGCTTTAAGAATAAAAGTGATGTATTTTAATCCCTTTCCAACTCGCTCATTACCACTTACTGGAAATGTGTTTAACAGTGACTCCAGGGTTCTATGTCAAGCGTCTGACCTTCCTGATTATTTCCTGTGGATGGCCTAGAAATCATCACTAGCTAATGGATATCCAACTTACTAATCACAGCTGAGATGTGAACATTAAGAAAAAAATCAGTGTAGCACATCATAGTCAGATGTACATTACCCTTTAACAACATCTGCACCCGCTTTTGAAAATGTCTGACACAGGATGCTTTTGCATCAAGGATCATTTAATGGGGTCTCAGGTGGTTTAGTCCATATCAGAATTTTAATTCACAAATCTTTCAAACTCTGCTCACTGTACTGTATATCGTAAAACAGTAAATGCAATGTAAATACTGTGGGCCAGACCCTCCACTGGTGTCAATTGACAGAGTCTCACTGAAGTCAGTGAAGCTGTGCTGATATACACCAGTTGAAAATCTAGCCCGCTGGAAGAATAAAAATTACATTCTCTAAGGGCCAGATTTCAATACCTTTACTCACGTGGAATAGCAACATATTCCGTGAATGGTCCCATTGGCTTCAGTACTATAGCGGAAGCTGGCTCTAAGTCATTTTTTATGTGGAAACTCCATTCTTTGGTTTGGTAATGAGTTTATTATTCATAGAACTTGCAAGACCATTGTAAGAAAGGTTGTGTTTATTACAGAGGTTATTACAATTCTTTCCACCTGTTTTAGTTAATCTTTGTATTTTAATTTATCTTTGTTTTTAGCAGTCACCATTATCATTGTACCCTAATGTTTCTCTCCTTTAGAATAGGGTATGGAAAAATTTAGTGCTTTCAAGTCAATGCAACACTGGCAAGAAAAATCAATCCAAAGCAGTGAATCCCTATGTTCCAATGATAAAGAGACACTTGATAGCAAGAACAGCTCTAATGGAGTTAAAACATTTAAATCTCTTGGGGAACATTTTTATATCTGTGTCATGATTGTCATTGTAAGATTGATATAAACTTTTTAAAGGTTTTTTTTTTGTCTTGTTTCCTGACTAGGTGATTCCTCATGGCGGTGCCAAGATTTCTTTGACTTACAAATACATGATCCATGAAGACTCCTTAAATGTAGATAACAACAATGTTTTGGAAGATGATTCAGTAACACATGAATGGGCTCTGAAAAAATGGTCCCAGTGTTCAAAACCCTGTGGAGGAGGTAAAATGAACACATTTAAAACTGATGAAAGAAAATGCCTTTTTTATTTTTTACACAGCACAATTAATCTGCGGAATTCATTGCCACAAGAGAGTAATAAGGCCAAGAGCTTAGCAGGATTTTATTTAAATAAAGGTTTAGACAAATAAAGAATAAGAACATCCATATTTGCATTCAACTAGAAAAAATGTGTAAGGAATATTAACCACTGTGCTTCATGATACAAGCTGAATGCAAGCATAGGGTTAGGAACAAGCTTCCTCTTAGAGCAGCTTATCCCATAACTGCCCATTGTCCAAAACAGTCTGGAGCATCCCTTACTGCTCCTAGAGACAGGATATCTGGCTAAGATGGACCTTTGGTCGCATCTGGTATGACAGTTTTTGTCTTTGTCCCTGTCTGTTACTGAGAAATTGTACCAATTATATACGAGTTGGCTGTGTGCTGATGAAAACTAGCATATCAAAACTTCAAGCACATAACAAAATCACACCCATTGGCAGATGAATCCCGAATCCTTTGTGTCCAGTGATCTTAGCCTCCAGCTTAAGGATCAGTGAGTACTAGACCCTGATCCTGATTAATGCTGGTGACAGTGCTGCCTGGAGAGAGGAGGTTTCAGCTGCTGTGCTGTGTGGCTGCTCTTTTAGGTGTGCAAATTTAGAGGACACTGATGAAACTTTTACCCTTGTAATGCCAAGAGGTGCCCCTTTAAGAACATAAAAACGGTCATTCTGGGTCAGACAAAAGGTCCATCTAGCCCAGTATCCTGTCTCTGACAGTCGCCAGTGCCAGATGCTTCAGAGGGAATTAACAGAACAGGACAATTTATCAAGTGATCATCCCCTGTCGTCTAATCCCAGCTTCTGGCAGTTGGGGTTTTAGGGACACCCAGAGCGTGGGATTGAGTCCTTGACCATCTTGGTTATTAGCCAATTATAGACCTATCCTCCATGAGCTTATCTAAGTCTATTTAAACCTGGTTATACTTCTGGCCTTCACAACATCCCTTGGCAATGAGTTCCACAGATTGACTCTGTGTTGTGTGAAGAAGTACTTCTTTATGTTGGTTTTAAACCTTCTGCCTATTAATGTCATTGGAAGATGCCTAGTTCTTGTGTTATGTGAAGGGATAAATAACACTTCCCTATTCACTTTCTTCACACCATTCATGATTTTATTGACCTCTATCTATATCCTCCCTTAGTCGTCTCTTTTCTAAGCTGAGCAGTCTGTGTTTTTTTAATCTGTTCTCATATGGAACCTGTTCCAGACACATAATTATTTTTATTGCTCTTCTCTGCACACTTCCAGAAGAGTCAGTTATTTATTATGATTATAGCTTCGTTGTGAGAAGACAAAGAGGACTAGTAGTTCTGGGTGCTAAACAGTTAGCTGCTTGTAATGAGCAGAGTAAATGCTAACCAGGTGCAATCTACAATCCTGTAGAATCGTCACCTACTGTTCAAAATACACTATTAGCCACTTCATGGACAAGTACAATCTGAGTTGTGTGTAAGTATTGTAAATGCTGAAGATAAAAGAAGTATCTTTCTTAAGGTTATCAGTTTACGAAATATGGTTGCCGGAGGAAGACAGACCACAAGATGGTTCATCGGAGATACTGCGAGACGATCCAAAAGCCAAAGCCTATTCGCAGAGTGTGCAATCTGCAGGAATGTTCCCAACCAATGTAAGCTTTGCTGTCCCTTAGAATTGGTATTAGCCCATGTCCAGTTAATGCCAATGGTTAACTGGAACGAAGTGCTTTCAGCTATCCCCATATACCTTACTACCCTGACACATGGCTGTTTTAGATTAGGAGCCCTTCTCCGTCATTTTACATCATTGCCTAGATAGTGTTATGCAATGACACAATATCATTGCTAAAGTGTTGCTTGCAGAAACACTGTTTCTGGGAATGACCGTTCCCGCTGATTCTGAGATAGGTTGGGTCAGAAAAATACCCATTTCTTGATCCAGACACTTGTATTCAATGGACCAGAAATGAAGTAATATAAATTGATTTTACAGAGTGTGAATTTAACTATATAAAAGCAAGCATATAGAGTGTTATTTAAGAGAACAAGTGTCATACACTTCTAATACAAACACCAATAAAACCCACAGCATATTTTTAAAGCTGCAAAGGTCAGGGAGGGGAATGGTTTGGCTCATGCAAGTTTTTGCTGAAACATTTATGTTGATTTCCATGGATATCCCAGGACAACATTTTAAGAGGTTATTATTTGTGCTTCCTTGTTGTATATAGTCAGTTATTACGGATGTATTTATTCACATTTTACAGGTGCTTTTTTGACTGGCAGCAAGTTAACCCTGTCACATGTAGGACTCACATATTTCCCCTGTTGCTACCGCAACAAGTAAGGAGTAAGTTGATCTACAGCTTTTATCTCTGGCAACCAAGTCTAAATTCCAGTGCGTGTGATGAATAACTAGACAATACCAGCCAATATTTTGTAACTCCCTTCCAAAGACAAACATCAGAGAAGGAGAAGCCAAATAACTGTGCCCCATCAGCACAACAAAGATCAGGGTTTAACAAGTTTATTTACCAACAGTGACTTACTGACCATAATTAGAACTCTCTGCATAAAGCTACAATCTTCTATTACTCAGTTATAAGCTCCTTTCCAGGTAGTAAAACTATAAATGAAAGTAAAATTAAATTACACTTGCACATGAGCCACAAAATTCAGATAAAAGAAAAGGAGTACTTGTGGCACCTTAGAGACTAACCAATTTATTTGAGCATGAGAAATTGGTTAGTCTCTAAGGTGCCACAAGTACTCCTTTTCTTTTTGCGAATACAGACTAACACAGCTGTTCCTCTGAAAATTCAGATACGGATTTCAAAGACCCCAAATTTAAGGGTGCTTGGATCTGGAGTTTTGGGTCAGCCCAGTATAGAGGTATTAGCCAGCTACAAAATTCATATCAGGATCTTGGTTCTAAACCTCCAATGTTTCAATATTCTCTGATCCAGGGTTTTGGTTTGGGCCCCCTCTCTAATTAAACTAGTAACTTCGTTCTCACCTAGAAGGTGGCTTTAATCCTAAATGGGGCCTGGATTCAACCAACATTTTAGGCCTTTCCCCACCGAATATTTTCCTTTCAACCTTCCCCACTTTCAGATGGTCTTTTCCTGCTTGTTCATAGGTGAGGCAGATTTTGATTGGACTCCTTAGCACTGAGACTGACAGAATAAAACTGCAAGATGCTGCTCTCTCACAATCAATGGAGGATCATTGCAACTGAATTGTCCCAGAAATCCTTTTCCTATAAGTGATCTTGTAGCCTTACTCCTCTACTGTGTAATTTCATAAAATCAGAGGTTAAAACCAGAAGAGACGTATGAGTCGATCTCCTGGTCAATGCAGGATTATTCCCTACACCACCTTTTCTAGTGCTTTGTACAAACTTTAAATGTCCCAAGTAATGATCTTTCCATCAGCTCCGTTGTGGAACTCTTCCACTGCCTAACACATCTCAAACTCAGGGCATTTTTCAGTGTATATTTATATTTAGTTTATGCCAATTGTACCTGCATGTACCACACTAAATAATATCCCCTCTTCTTGGTTTCTCCATCCCTTAAATGTTTGTAGACTGCGATCATGTACACCCACTTTGTCATCACTTAGCCCACCTTTCAGTATTCCTCGTAAATATCCTCCAGTCCCTCACTCCTTCCACTTTGTCACTCTAGTTCTTGCAAAATTGTGCCCAGAATGTAATACAGTGTTCTAGGGGCAGTCATGAAGGAGTTTTCAGCCATACCACATTGCAAAACATGGGTAAAATTTTCAAATGTGCCTAAGTGTATGTCTACACGGCAAAGGAAAACCTGTGGCTGGCTATGCCAGCTGACTTGGGCTCCCGGCGCTCAGGCTATGGGGTGTTCCATTGCTGGGGAGACTTCTGGGCTAGGGCTGGAGCCCAGGCTCTCGGACCCTGCAAGATGACTTAAGCTCCTAAGTCATTTTGGGGGAAAATGGGACTTCAGCTCCTAAGTCACATTGACTTTCAATGACATTTACACTACTAAGTACCTTAGCTACTCTTCAAAATGGGACATAGGTGCCTGAGGTACTTCTGAAAATTTTATCTGATGTCTAATTTGCTTTTCTGTTTCATCTGTAGATAGATCAGCGTTGCTGCTCCCCAGTTCCCCCCTCTCTTTGGGTATTTGTGTTTGGGGTTATTTTCCCCAGTTGTATTTGCTTGTGTTTTTCCAAGATGAATTTCACTTTATTTTCTTCCCATGTTTCTAATCTCTCTTGGTCCCTGTGTATTATTTCTCTGTCCTCCCTGGGCCTCACAGCTCTTCTCATGTTATCATCAGTCAGTTAACTGAAGTCAGCCACTTTGACGATCACCAAGGAAATGGTTATTTCTGTGCATCTATAGCTAAATGTCCCCCGATCAGCTAGGCTGTAATACTGATTTTTAAAGCACTATTTCCTAAATTGCCATCAAAGGGATTTACTGATTTATTTCAAGAGACCCTTATCAGATCTTCACAGAACATTATGGAGCTTAGTGGTATGATGGCAACATTGTCTTCTGCCATTGTGAAAGAAGGTGAACCTCACTACTGATAAGAATGAGCTCAGAGTTCTGTGAAAACTGTATTACAAATACTACATTGTCAGAAAATATCCTGGGACCAACATGGCTACAACAGCCCTACACATCATCAGCAAAACTAAATTTCATCTGCTCTGTGGCTAAGCATCAAATACACCGCAACAGCTTCCACTGTAGACAGAAAGCACTTCCCCTTTGCAACATTCTTGGTGTCTAATGCGGTGGGGAGATGGTATTTAAAAATGGATAAGCTCTGGATCCAACAGAGATGGATCAAGGAAGTCCCCAAAATGAGGCTGAACTTTTTGAGGCTCCCTTTTATTTTCTGCCACAATCTAATAGTTTCCCCAGATACTCCTCTGCCTCCTTTGTGGCCTTCAGCAGTTTACTGCTTCACCCCACCCCTCCACGCAATCCCGACTGGGAGGAGAAAAGGGACGTGAGGCGTTAGTTTGTTCTGACCACAACACCTCTAATTTAGATTCTATTAGAGACAGTTTTCCAAAGAGAAACAGCTGTTGTAACAAGGACCACATAGAAAAGAAAAATGAAAGTGACATATTATTCTCCTCTTGGTTATGCACACAACTTCTGTTAGCACTAATGGGATGTGTGCATCTGCATCAAAAAGGGAATGTATACTTACAAGAGTCTCAGTTTGAGCATCCCAGTGTAATCATGCTGTCTACATGTTCTGTACAGTACTGAATGCTGAACAATACAAGATTCTTAGTGGTTAGTAGTCTGTTCTTTAAAATATTACTGCAGGGATTTAGGAGGCCTTTAATGTTGCTCCTAAGAGAGATTGGATATATTGCTTTGAAGTCTTCAAAATTACTTGACAAACAGCTCAGTTCTGGCTTTCAGTCTTCCGGAAAATGAGTCTATATTTTTCATGGTTCTTCTAGGTGGTTGGTTGAACTGTCACCCTCTCTGAGTAAACTCATCTGTAAGAATTACTGCTATAACCCCATCCTCTGCTATCAACAATTGTTTTAGTGGTTTATTTCCCTGTTGGTTTCAGCATGAATTATTTAGGCTATGTCTACACTACCATGGTAAGTCGACATACGCTACGCAACTCCAGCTACATGAATAACATATCTGGAGTAGACGTACCTTAGGTCAAATTACCGCAGGGTCTACACTGCGGAGGGTCGACGGAAGAAACTCTCCCTTTGACTTACCTTCCTCTTTTTGTTGGGGGTAGAGTACAGGGGTCAACTAGAGAGTGATCCGCTGTCAATTTGGCAGGTCTTCACTAGACCTGCTAAATCTGCCATCGGTGGATCGATCTCAGAGCATCGATCCCAGCTGTAGTGTAGAAGTAGCCTCATTAGAGGTTTACAAATAACTACTGTTAGGGAAGCTGCCGGGAAATTGTTCTTTTCAGTTCAGAGTATCGGCAAAAGACAGGTCCGCTAAGGTTGGTATCCAAGGATCTAACAAGGAATTATTATGTTATACATGTAGATGGGATTGCTTATCTTTGGAAACATTCGCACACCAATAATTAAGTCTTTCTGACTTCTGGTTCACCTAACTAATTGCACTAAACTTGAGAAACTTGTTGTAGATTTTGGGTGAAATTTTCAAAAGCATCTGACTGACTTAGGACCCCAAGGGCCAGATTTTACAAAGCTGCTTAGGAGATGCCAAAAGAGGCAGAGTGGTGCCTAGTGAGATTTGACAGGCACCTTATTCCCTTTGGCTTTCATTGGGAGTTAGGCCCCTAACCTGCTTATGCAGTTTTGTAAATCCTATTGGGTACCTGTATCTTTAGGCTCCTAACCAGCTTTGTAAATCGAGTACTAAGTCCCACTGAATGTCAATATAACAGTGAATAAAAGTCAATGGGACTTAGCTTCCTAAGTCGCTTAAGCTGTTTTAAAAATTGGGCTGGAATTCCAAAGGTATTTAGGTGCTTTTGAAAATGTTACCATTTAATACTAGAGGGAAAAGGTGGATGAGGTCAGATCTTTTAGTGGACCAACCTCTGTTGGTGAGGGAGAGAAACTTTTGAACCACACAGAGCTCTCTCTCACCAACAGGAGCTGGTCCACTAAAAGATATTACCTCGCCCACCCTCTCCTTCTAATATCTTGGGCCTGACAAGGCTACAACACTGCATACAACCGCTTAATACTACTTTATCTTAGGACTGGTGGGTTTTGTTTGTTTTTTAACTTTTGAAATTGTAAATCCGTAATAGGTATCTAGAGAGTGCACCAAACATGGGCCTGTAATGAGGAGGGGCCTCATTAGAGAATTCCAAAGAAAGAGAAGTTAAGTGGAAATATTCATGCTGAGATAACTCTGTGGGGGGAAAAAACATTTTCCTTTTTCTTTTCCTAGCCATATCAGTGATTCATGTGTTTGGTCTATTCTTTCTGAAGATAAACAGAATTTATTGTAAGGGTCTCAAAAGGAGCCTAAAAGTGTTAGGTGCCCATATACTATTGGAAATCAATGCAAATTGGATATCTAACTCCTTCAGTCTCCTTTGCAGATCTCAGCCCTTTTACATGCAGTCCTTAAAGGACCCCAGCTTATAACCAAAATAAATGAAATTAAGTAATATTGACACCTTCATCTCAGAAATAAAGAACCTCTAATTGTGCCACAGTTAGAAAGCATTACTACACCGGTGCCCCAGCTGAACTCACATGATACAATACTGAAGCATGGTAGGAAGAGATGTGACCTTCATTATAATGGGTTTCATGCCTCTGGCTGTTATGCTTTGAACTACAGTAGAATTGTAGCTGAGCTGCCATCTACTTACAAGAATTTAATAAGCCTGTGCACAGTAAAAAGTTGAAAAGAAAGCAAGTCATTGTGAGATGAATGTAGGGAGGGACTCAATAGGAGTAGGAAGCTACAAGCTTTGAAATGGTTTCATAAATGTTTGTCCCCAACCTGCTTTACATCTTTAATATTAAAGACAAAACACCTCTTTTGCCAGCTGCACATATGGTGATAAAAAACACAAATTGGATACAGTTTTGTCAATGATAGAGAACACTGAATTCAAAATGGTGGTACGGAACCTCTAGACAACAAAAATAACCCTTCAGTGGATGAAATTTTACATTAATGCTCTGGACTTGCACAGTCTTTCACTGTCTATTCTGAAAAATAGCATTGATTTCCCCTTATTAAAGAACTAATCATGTAAGAAATTTGGTTGTGGAACTCCACATTTTGTATTATGCCAGTGCAAAAAAATTCTGAAATTCTCAAAAATGTATTTGTGTGTGTTCCCTTTTCTTTTTATAACCTGAGACACGTCTGGCAAGATTTAGCCAAGAGATTTAGAATTCTTCCACCTTCCCCTATATGCAAAGTTCAGTTTTATCTGATATTTCTTCAAGATCCTTTATGATACAAACCTGCCACAGTATTAACTGCTGCTGAATCTAAAATATTAAGTTGATCGACTAAATTCCTTCTTGTCAGTAGCTTGCTTGGAATGGTAAGACACACTAAATCAATCCTAATTACAATAACCATAAGTGCTACCACAAACAGAGACCAAAGGACCCATATTGCACTCTTTCCAGTGCAGAAGACACTGCTTGGATACATTTAGCCACTTACTGTCAGCTTCAGTGCTGTGGCTAATTCAGCCCTCGCAGAACATTTAGTAATTTTTATTTATCCTCTTTCATTTACTAGATTGGGATCAAGATCAACATACTGCTAATCCTGAAATTTAAGAATTATAGTTCAATAAATATTTTTTACATGACTAACGTATGAGAGAGGGACTTTTACCTCACATGTCCTGTTTTTCATTAACCAGATGGGTTACAGGAGATTGGGAGCCCTGCAGCAAAAGCTGTGGAAAAACAGGATATCAAGTACGTTCTGTACGATGTATCCAACCCCTGCATGACAATACAAATCGTTCTGTTCATACCAAATATTGCAACAATGATCGTCCAGAAGGCCGAAGGTCTTGCAATCGAGAACTTTGTCCTGCACAGTGGAGGATAGGACCCTGGTCACAGGTAGATAATGATCATAAGTAATTATCAATCATATTTTTCATATATTTTATAAAGCAGGGAAGGGGGAGTCTTCAGCGAGTTGTCCTGTCCTGCTACTGCACTGACTGGAAAACTTCTGCTTACCAATGTAGAGCACACTGTATCCACCAGGGCTAATTCAGCATAGAAGTGAGTGTAGGTGGGGGTAATGGCAGTATGACCAGAAGTAATGCTGTTTGATTTGGCTCCCATGAGTTGGTCTGAGTTGCAGTTTCAGAAAGAAAGGAAGTGGCGCCTCCAGCATTTCTCTTCTGTTTGTTTCTTCAACTATTTCACCAAATGACACTGCTCGGAGAAAAATAATACAGTAGCTTGGTGTCATGCCTTTTTCTTTTTTCCCTAAAGTCCTTTAGGGACATGGCTGGGTTTTTTAGAAGTGCCTAAGGGAGTTAGGCACCTAACCTTATTGCAATTAAATGGGCATTGGGCATCTTTGACAAAGAAAAGGCATTATGAGGGAAGGTTACAAGTATTGAGTAAAAGGGATTGCAGGCTGGTTGTTCTTCCAGTGCTACTTTTTCCATACAGAGGTGTTAGGTACAAAGCAGAGCCAATGGTTCTAGCAAAGTACCAGGAGTCGGGAATTTTAAGCTCCCTGTTCCTGACTCTTCCACTAACATAGTGTGCAACTTTGTAAGTGTGCACTTACCCTCATTGTACTCGGTTTCCCCAGGTGTAAAGTATTTACCAACTTCCCAGGAGCGCTGCAAGGCTTGATCTATTCATGTTTGTAAAGTGCTCTGAGCTCATCAGCTGGAAGGAGAGATGCAAGTGCAATGTAGTGGCATTACATGTCAATCTACTCAAATTGAAAAGATACCATACATCAAAATTATCTTTCATGGTGGTTCTCTATGAAGCAATTTACAAAGTATAGCTGTATCTGTAGGTACAACATTTGATTTTATATCTCTGCTATACCAATAGGAGCCATAGGATTGTTTTTTTCTTCGTGGCTTTCATAAGAATTGTAAGCAATACAGTTCAGGATAAGTGCAGTGACTAGATGCATATAGTCTTATTCATATGCTGCTTGGACTTTGAGCTCTTCTAAGGAGGGATTGTGTTTTCACAGTGGGCTCTCACCAGGGTTGGAGGGGTTTGTGAATGCTCTTGTAGTATGAATGTGATAATTGTGGTCAGGTCAAATTATGTACCATTACATAGCTGGACTGTGGTCCAAGACAAAAAGAATTCCTAATAAATCATGTGCAAAAGATGAATCAAGGCCTAATTTGTGCATTTTTTCCCCAGTGCTCTGTAACTTGTGGTAACGGCACACAGGAACGGCAGGTTTTGTGCAGGACGAGAGACAATGCTAGTGGCTATTGTACAGAAGACAAACCGGAAACAATGAGGATCTGCAGACTATCTCTATGCCCCAGTAAGCACTGTGCTCTTTGTTCTTGTGACTGGCATGTTTTGCTAATTTTGAAAATATTATTTCAATTAAATGTGGTTAAGCAGTGAAGCCCTCCTTAACTGAATTCACATTCATTCAAGAGATTAATTTGTATTCAGCAAAGTGTGTTAGGGGTTTCGAGTGTCAATGAGATTGTGGACCTGTAAGTGGTTTGTGTGGCTGGCATACTTTCTATGCCTAATTATTTCGCAGTGATATGGGACACTAGCCAACCCAGCTGCTACGATATTGCAGGCCAGAAGCCCAGAGAACACTAAGGTGGAATTATGGGAACTGCTGCTGCTCAGTGCCAGTGATTCTGAGAAGTCTTGGGATTGGCCAGAGTGTGGTGGGGCGGTACCCATTAAAAGCAGCAATATGTGGAAGTGGGCCTCTTCTTGCTCCATCTCCCCACCAATGACATTTCAGGGCTGTTGCTCTCTTCCTGTCACTTCTGTCAAGACAGGTCATCTTTAGGAGTTAGCCTTGAAACATCAAACAAGGTATCACATATTTGTGTCCACTGAGCTTGTTCCTGTCCTCACTGGCTTTTTTGCCATTTGCAAATGTTGCCTGTGAGGTCATTTAAAAATGATAAAATTGTATCATTTTAAACTTTATTATTATTCAATAATTGTTGTTCTCAATAGTACTGATGTTTTGCTAAGTAGAAATATGGCCTTGGAGTTAGCCTGTTGACTTAAGAAGAGTATCACTTACATGTACTACATGAAAGATCCTAAAGAGTGCAGCTGTTAAACACAAATGTGATGACCCTTAGACTGCAGTACATGGTAATACTGCTACTGGAAACTGGTGCTTTTCAGTCTTCCTTCCACGTTTGCTATTACACTCCAAACCCAGGGAGCAAATTATTAATTAATAGCAAATTGAAAAAAAGACATCAGCTATTCAATTATTCTAAAAGATACCAACCTAACAACATTCTAGTCTTTCTCGCTGCTACTTTTTTCACTCAAGCCAGTTCAATTTGATCCAGTTATGACATAGTAAAGCTACTAATGTTAATACATTTTTGCTTACATTTTTTCCTCTATTCCAGGAAATGTTTCTGATCCATCAAAGAAAACCTACATGATACAATGGCTGTCAAGACCAGATGGAGATTATCCCATCCAGAAAATATCTTCAAGTAAAAGACCCATTTATAACTCTGCCTTTGCCCTTAAATGCATGCCACATCAAATGTGGACTTTGCCTTTTGCTCTTTTCCTCTCTATATATGGAAAATTCCCTTGACTTTACCAAGTTAAATCTTCAGCTGAATCTTTTTTCCGCACTGGGCCCTTGGTGCGCAGTGTCTTTCTTCTCTGGAGCTCGTGCACCAATGATGGCAGAGGTCTTGGAGTTGTTGGATGTGTGAAGTAGGATCTCTGCAGTGTGTTGCACTCCTCTGAAAGGGAGCTGGGGTCAGTTTGCTTGTTGGTTGGTGATGGTGAAAAAAGGCTTACTGGTTCATGACGTTCAGTTTGATAGCAAAACTGAGAACTTATTGTGAATGTGATCACATCACAATAATGACACCTTGTAGTGCTAAAGTTCTCCTTTATCTAAAGGCTCTGAATCTCATAACACGCTAGTTTTCCTTTTGGAGTAGTTTGTTGGATGAAAGAGTTCATTCCATTTTCCGTTGCAGTGTCATTGCTTACTTACCCATGCTGCTCAAATCTATTCCTAATTTAATAACTGTTTGTTTTTGTGAAGAGCTTATTATTACAAGTAGCTCCATTTCTGTTGATATTTTAAATGCTGCTATTGTGCTGTACACTTTCTTCAAACTCCTACCTGTTCTGAATATTTTCTTTTCAAAAGTTGCAAGGTTCTTTTTTTCTGCATACCATTTTGCCAGAGTTTTGCATATTTTTCCTACGTTTTGTTAAATGTAAGTGGTCCAAGCTATAAAGGTTTGTTGGTGGTGGTGTTTTTTTAAACATAGTTGAGGCAATGACATTTTCATTGACTATGATGTCTCAAGTTGCTCAGCATTGAACTACTTAGGATCATTACATCCATTGGTCTTTTTTCACCATATGCATGTTTGACTTGATTGGTATGATTGTGTGTGTGTGTGTGTGTGTGTATGTATGTTCTATATATGTGTCAACTGGCAAACATAACAGTGTGAACAACTACAGAATTACCTCAATTTTTATTGCTTTTTTTTGCATAGGAAAAAAAATAAATTTTAGAAAAATGCCTTAATGTTTAAATGTAATGGCATTAAGTACCAGATCCGGCTTTAAATACAAACAGTACACTGGAAACATGAGTTAACCTTCATAAACAGCATTTTTACTTGAATGATAAAATATTGGAAGGAAGTAAATTTAATCAAAGGTTAATTTGCACAGGCCGTGTACATTTCATAAAGAAAAGGTCATTTATTTAATGTCTCAAAATTTAATTGCCATTGTTGCTTCACCTTATGTGTTTGTGTTGGAAGATTTGGAATTCATTATGCATAAAACCATTTGTGACATTAAGTAATAGTAGAAGTATATAAATTTTTAAACACCAGTCTTTGAGTTATATAGTAAATTGCTACCTTATTCCACTGATCCTATCCTTTAGAAAGGTGGCACTTCCAAATCTTTGGCTCTTCAGCAATGTAGCACTTCAAACTTGTCATTATCATGTGATCACATATTTAAATTTTGCTGTTAATATGATAATTTCTGGAAACATGTTAATAATTTACATGACAAGGTGAAAAAGCAAAGACACATCCCTGGCACTGAATACTGTTATGTAAAATAATTGGTGTTTAACTGTATAAATATATTCATGACTGTTACCTTAAATAGACAAATGTTTAGTGATGTTTCAAGATCTGGGTGGCTATAGAGAATGGTGCAATAAGGTATCTGGGCATCGTGCACTATGTCTATATGCACTTTGGTTTATCAGGGATATTTTATTAGTGTTTTGTATGTATTGAACATTAATATTAAAGCTGTGCCAATTCATTTTGCTTTCCAATATTTTTATTAGACCAATTTAATGTGTACCAAAGTGACTTTGAAACTGACTTATTTTTTTCTTAGTGATGATTTGAAGTCATACTGCCAGTCTGTCATGCATACTGCAAATAAAATAAAAGTTCAGCACATCTGACTATTTTGGTTTGAAAAGATAATATACATTTCATTTTGATCTTCATGAGTTACAAGGTTTTGGAAATTTATTCATGTAAAATATGAAGCTAAACTTTTTCAGATACTGGAATTTGATTCTCTTGTAATTTTTATGCTTGATCACTTCATGTTTTTGCTAAAAAAAAAGGCATTTTTCTAAAGAGGCATCTACTGACTCTTATAATATATAGACGAGAATGGCTGTGCCTTTTGAACCTAAATTTAAATGTTAGCTTGCAGAAAATTCAACAGGTACTATATATTTGGAAAAGCTTGTACTAAAGCCACATAGGGCAAAATGTTCAAAGGGGCCTCACGCATGAAGAAAGTTTTATAGATCATGTTAAGTTTTGCATGCAAAAACTTGCACACACTAAATTGCATCTGCAGGCTTGAAGCCGCTTTGAAAATTTGTCCAAAACTCAATTACTATTCTCAGATTTCCAAGAAGGAGTTCCTTCTGGTTGTTGTCTCAGTTTATCATCTGAAAATAAACTGACAAATTGAAATAAGAACCATATTTTTGTTTTTCTATAGAAAATGCAATAATCAATGGATAAAGGGGTTAGTTTAAAGACAAGTAGTTTGTCTTGTCAATCAACTCTAGCTTTTCAAAGCAAGAGGAATAGTTATTAGCATATGCTAGACTGATATGTTTGCCAATTAAACACTATAACTCCCTATATTTTTAACTGAGCATGAATGAAGAGCTGACACCTGTGCTTTCTAAATTCACATAATATTTCTGAATCTGTCGTGGTGCTGTAATTTGCTGAAATGTTGCTGAGCGCTTAAATAAAAGGGTGGCAAAGTATGGTATCAGTAATGCTAAACATATGTGGCTTTATGTATATTCTGCAATCAGGTATACTGTGAATTAAGGCAAGTATTTGAAATTATACATCTTGTCCTATAAGAGTTCACAACAACTTCTATTATCATTACTAGTCAATAGGTATGATTGTGTTCCCATGGTAATGCAGGAACTCTCACCTACAGGTGGCTCGTGGGTTACTGCAGAAGACGGCCCTGGAACTTATAAAGTTACAGTCAGCATTGTGGCTACTGAGAAAATAACTTGTCACTAACCATTCAAAGTGTTGTTCTAACTTGCCCTCTTCCTCAGCATGTTCCCCCAGTCTGGGTTTATTTAGGTGGCAGGAATTAATGTAATTCTGTTTGTTGTCTTGCCTAGAACCAGGAGGTACTGGGGCACTGCAACTAGCGTAGTGAACGAACACAGAGAGCCTGTAGAACTGTGTCCATGCAGGGGGGACAGACAGCATGCTGTCCCTGACGTGCAGTGACTCCTCTGTGGGTAAAAGGGAGACAGGTGGAAAGCCCCAGCCTTGTTAGCTTCCACTGGCTAAGAGCTACTGATTAAAGATTGCACCCCAGCCAGTCTGCCCCGGGGGGAGACAAGGATTTTAGTGGTTTCAGACTAGACTTGGATAAATGCTTAAGAAGAAGAATATGGCTAACCCCCCTAATCTTAAACTTTGCCACATGCAGTTCACTGATACCAGGATCTGGCCCAGTGCATTCATTGTGACTCATTCAGACTAGATGATCTAAATAATCCCTTCTGGCCTTAACATCTATTAATTATCCTGGTTTAATCTTTATTAGGTGTCTTCATTCCCTGATTTACAGAAGTCAGGGATTTGCAGTGAGTCTCCCAGTCACCAATGTCAGTTAGCACAGTTCTACCTCGCTTGTGTAAACAGCTCACCATATTCCAAGTTCCTCCTTAAAGGCAGAAAAGGTTTGCTCCAAAGTCTTCACAGTTCTCGTAGGCAAGATAACCATTTAGGAGATGCCACCACTTTCAGACTGAAAGCTAGACAGCTGAGCAAGAAATGACTTCCATATAAATTATTTTAAATTAGAAGCTATATACAGCCTCAGCCAAGACTACAGCTTTTTGAAGCTCAGATATAGGCATATAGAAGTAAACCCAAGGCTGAGATTAGTGGCTTTTTACACTTTAATTCCTCCTCATTTTTAATTAAGTCACTGTTACTCTGCATAACAGCATATAAAAGGAGTGAAGGAATAAAGAGCTCCTGAGTAAAATTTGTGACTTAAGCTATTTGCGGGCTTAAGGTGGAATTCTGGAGTAGCAACATAGCATTAGTAAGGTTGTTATAGTCACGACAATGCAGTGAACTCATGTCACTGCCACAGCTTAGCGTTAGTGTAGCATAAGGGAAAGGGGTGGGGTGCTTGGATTTATCATAGAGATGGGTCCAACATGCAAAATTCAGATCTGGCTTTGATCACCCTAGAGTTTGATGGTGTCAGGATTTAGGGTCTCAGTTACACCTGCTATAATTAAAAGGGTCCATTTGTCAAATTCCCAGCCCAGTTTGTATTTCCAACCCTACCCCCATTGCCAAAGCCTGAGTGTATCTGTTGCTGATTTTATAGGATACGACTTTAAATGTTCTTCTAGGATAAGACTTCCCCCACGTGCTATTTATTTACCTTTCCTCTTTCTCTCTTTCAGGGGAACGTTGCCAAGGAGACAAGTCCATGTTTTGTCGCATGGAAGTTCTCTCTCGTTACTGTTCAATTCCTGGTTACAATAAGCTGTGTTGCAAGTCCTGTAATATGTATAACAACATAACAGAGGATAATAATGTAACTGATTCTAACCTAAATAAGAACAACATTGAGGAGAATCTCCTGCCTACTCTCACTCCTCCAACTGGGGTGGTTGTCATGCAGGCTACCGCTGGTCCTCCTCTGGTTTCCAACTCAAACGTCACCCATTCCAATGCAACTGAGGACCACCCAGAAATTAATGCGGTAGACGTGCCATATAAAATCGATGGGCTGGACAACGAAGTACCACAGCACAACCTCATCCCACGGAGGAGGCTGCATTACGAAAGGACAAAGAACCAAAGAATTCAGGAGCTGATTGCTGAGAAAAGAAAGAGGGAGACCATTAGTAAGCTACATTAAAATGGAAATACGGCACAGACGACATTTTTCTCTCTTATAGAGATGTTACCACCACCATCGTAATGCCCATGTCATACAAACTAGAGAAAGAAAAAAGCGGTGCTATGGCAGAAATGCCAAATTCTAAAGCCTAAAACAAACAGGAATGTAAGACTGTTTCATAACGCTCGTTGAAACGTTCTGATGGCTAGGGTTCCAGGGTGCTATAACGTACTAGTGCAATATCAGTACAGTATTTCACTGAATCCACACAAACCTATTACCTAGCCCAGATCAGCCGGTTTATGGATTTTGGGCTCTTTTCACTCCTCAATGCCTTGCATAACTCCTAGGGAATGCTAATGGGAGTTGCATTCAACAGGGAGGAGAACAGAGTCTGTTACCTACACATGCCTTTAATAGTGATAACCAGTTGATCAAGAGAAGTATTGCATCAAACCATACAATAAATTACTCCCAGATTCAGGATGGTATTTAAGTACATGCATGACTTTAAACATGTAAGTAGTCCCCCTTCCTTAAATGGAACTATTCTCATGGCTACACTTACCTACCTTTCTTAACTGGAACCTTACATTTGAGATTCTTTGTACACCACATATTTAATCTAAGTTCAGAACTGATAACCAGTAGTTTGCATGTTCCCATAAATAATTTCAAAGCATTTTTATCTATAAAAATGATTAACTATTTGACTGGACCTATACAATTTAGACTGACAATGTCCTAATCTTTTGTTTGAGTATCTTTATTTCATAGACTTTAAACTCCTGTTATACAATATCCCCAATGGTTTTAGTTGACATTCTTTTCAGTCTACCTTTTATCAACACTCTGTTTAACTTAAAATGACTGGAGTCTCTTTTCCTTTCCTTTCCTTTCCTTTCCTTTGGTGCTTCATGAAGAAAGTGTAATTGTGTATGTTAACATTTTTCATGGTACAATGTTATGTCATTCTGAAGAAACACATTGTGTTATCAATCTTTCCTTAGGACAGCTCTGTTGCAGCAGAAGTGAACATTGTTCATCATGCTTATATGTAAACACAGTACCAAGTGTGCTTAGAGCTTAGTAGCCTGACAGCCCTTTGAGTACTTCCTTTCCCTGTAATGTCTTCTGAGAGCTGAGGGCAACCTCACCATTTTCCATAGCTCATTCTGGATGGCTCGTAAGTAGAAGACATTCAGCGTGGTTGTTTGTACCTTTTGGCGAGGCCATGCCTGCTTTCAAATGTCTCTATATAATGCAAGGATGTTACCAGCCACCTTACAGGATAAATTAATGTGTACAGTAGGTACTGAGCATTTGAGCCAAAGACCACTAAGCTCAGTGGAAAGACTCCCATTGACTTCAATGGGTTTTGCAATTGGAATACTGTATGAGTAGGGAATTAAAACCTGTGTGTTTGTGGGGTTTATTAATTTTGCTCTAGCCTAGTGGGTTGACTTTCCCTTGTCTGCTCAAGCTTGTTAATATTTTCCAGGGGATAAGGTCTCTTTGAAACAGTCATTTCACATAGAAAAGATATGCAGGGGTTAGGGCTGCCTTGACACTGCCAGTTCACATAGAAAAGGCAACTGAGAGGTGGCAAAATGCTCTCAATTCAAATTTTTGATCTTGAATTAAGAAGATACAAGGTGGTGGTCTCATTTGCAGAGCTAGTTTGGACATATGCTACATAGCTTAGTTGCTGGTGATGCAATGTTGAGCCTGGCAGCCAGGCCCTCCTCACTGAAAAGGAAAACCCCAACTTACTTTTTGCTGTCCATGCTGGGGCCCCCATTTCTACTTTTAAATGTTGTGAGTGAATAGCTCACCTAGCTTCCATTGCAAAGTATCCCAGTTTAGATTGGAAAGAGGTAGCACTAAAAGTAGCCATTATTGAAACCAGCAGCTGAATCTATGCCCAGAAACTGTTGACAGGACAAGAGCCAAGGTTTAACCAAAATAATTTACAAAGAATATTAGACAAAGTAGTAGAGAATGGGGCCAATTTTATCCCTGGTATAATGCCATCAGCTTCACTTCCTCACGGGAAGGTGTGGAGATCAATTCAAAGCACTGTCTGAGCACTTCAGAAGCATTAAATAATAGGGGCATATATAACAACCTAAATTGACAGAAGTTACATCAGGGCTTGCTACAGGTCAAGACTCTTGTAAGATCCCTGTGCTCATGGCATCTGCAGGAATGGAGATGCACAGGTTTCAGGGTTCAAAGTATTAGCTTAAGGAGCTATGCTGCATTAGCAGACTCAGAAACCTCTTTAAAGGAGTTAACTGCTAGAGGGGGACAAAGATCCACACACTCCCCGTCTACACTATACTTACACAGCCTCTTCTATTCTTTTCCTACACTGACCTCTTCTCTTGTGGCTGGTGGGAGCACGTTCCACTAAAGCATGGGTTTCTTTTTGGTTCCAAAAAATAAAATTAAAGGTCCATATTGTGAAAACACTGAAACAGGCTGGGTTGGTGCATGTGTTAGGTCAGTTGGTTGAATTAATGGTTCAGATGAAGTCAAGAACGGTCTTAATATCAAACAGTTCTACGTTTGACCCACAATGCTATCTTCTACAATCCCCAAATGCATACAGTCTACCAAAAGCTTGGACAGAAGTGGGGCAACTACCAGTTTTGGCAAGGAGGAGAAAAGGCCAAAGAGACAGCAGGAAAATATCATGTGCAGGTGGGGGGGGGCATGTATACACACCCATTCTTTTTGTGATGGAGGAGAGAAGTATGAAGGAAGCTAGGCAGTGCAGAGAGGAGGAAAGGGGAAGAAGCTGTGGGTGCAGCTGCTGGCTGAAGACAATAGGGTGAGTTTTCATGATTCCAGAGCTACTTTACCTTAGCTAAGGGTTGTGATTTTACACCACATGCTCAAAGTGGTGAGGTTGCTAGCTGTGGTCATGGCTCATACCTAGGGTGAGTTTGGCACACCTCAGATGCAACCCCAATAGGTATATTAATATTTGGCTCAGCACCTGCATGCTTTGTGCCATCAAAGGAGGAGATGCCAGCAGCTGTATACACCTGTAACAGAGGCACAAAGTTATTATTAATCATATTTATTACATTGTCACCTAAGGATCAACTAAGAATCCCCCCCAACTTGTGCTAGGCACTGCATAGAGCAGTCAAAAGGCCCTGCCATGAGATGCTGACTGAAAGAGATGAGGCAGACAGCCTTTCCCTGTGTGCTCCCAAGCATTGCCGAGTGTGACCTGGGCTGTCTGTTAGGTGCCTGCAGCCAAGCGCAGGCCTGACCATGTATGTGGGAGTTTAACATTATGCAGCTGCCGCGCCCCTGAGGCTTTCAGTGCCTGTAACAAGTTTAATCTGACAGTCCCTCACAGTCCGGTTCAGAGGCTGTCGTGCATATGCATAAAATAGAAAAGTGAAGTCATGGGCTCCAAAAAGGAAAAACTGGGCAACTTTTAATCTCCAAAAGTCTTAGTTAAAACAGCCCTAGTTCAGCTGCTATGCATAAAATCTAGATTCAGGACAAAGCAGGGTAGGTTCGAATTCACAGCTTGTAGAAAAATGAGCTATTTTATGCTTTTTGAGTTTCCCCTGGTCTGTTGTGACAGTTCAACTTAAAGAATACTCTCCTCTGTCCCTTTATCACCCTAAACATATAACTTTAGGTCTGTGAGGGCAATACAATAAACAAGAAACCCCACTCTAACATAGCCAAACAGCATATCCAGTCACGCAGTAAACTAGACAAACCTATTTGTGGGAAAACCTTGAAGGCTTTGGAGCTATGGAGGTCTCCACCTCCCCAAAATTCTTCTCCCTCCAACAGACCATGTGACCCCTTTCTCCCCACCCCCTTCTCTGCATCCCAAGTGTTGCCCAGCACATAGTCTGGGAGAAATCCCCCACCCCAAATCTTTGTTTTCCTTGCCTAGACTCCTCATAGGGGGAGGAGTTTATGGACACTTGCAATTCATTTGGTGGCTTTGATGGATAACAGCCCTGTACTGTCCTCTGGCACCTTCTGGGGTCATATTTCCTTCTTCACATACAGACATGAGAGAACATATTTAAATGGTTTCTGCTGCTCCTGAGTGCATGGAATAGGTTTAGCAAGCCAGGGTATCCAGGAAGAAATACATGACAAAAACCCCACAACTCAAAAGTTACCCTACAATTTGCCCATTACCTTCATAGAGAGGGTGGAATGTTGTGTGTCAGAATCTGACGGAAAAGCCACCTTTTCACTGAAACATCCCATCCTAGGAAAGAGTAAATTCAGGGCGGGGGAAGGTGTCTGCTTTTCTGTATCATTTTGTACAGCTCTACCCTGTACCCATGGTTTGCAAAGTAGCAAATGCCTAGATGCATTCTGGCTTATGTTAGAACTATAGGAGAGCCAGGGCTGAACGCTCTGGAGATGAAACTTTTGTCAACCTCACAAGCTGCATTTTGAGTTTCAAAGCTAGTCCAAAGTTCAGAAACAGTCTTGGCACTTCAACACTTTCCCCCTTCACGAGAATGATTCACTTCTTAAAATCAAACAAACCAAAAAACAAACCAGATTTACCAAGCTCGAGAGAAGCCCATGCTGTATAGTAGAACACACTCCACAAAAAGCAAGGCTGGTACTACTATACATATGGTATTCATTAGGGGCCTGACTGAGCCAATGCCCACAACAGTTGATGGGTGTCTTTCCATCACCTTCCATGAGGATTGGACCAGACCTTACAGTTTCTTTATTTCTGACCTAGAACTCTTTCCTTTTTCAGGCTCTATGAACTGAGTTTTCACTCTGCCTTCACTGTGCTTTATTTTGGACTATTTTTAATTCCATTGGATCACTTTTCCAACTTAGGCTTTTTTTTTTTTTTTTGGCATGAAGTCAGTGACAATTGAACACAAGTCAAACTCTTTAGTCCACACTGGCCAGTATCTTACCCTCCTGAACAAAGAGGGTTTTCCCAGCCCGCTGTGAAACAGAGCTGGCTGCCACCTTCTCTTTACAATATTTCCATATGAGAAAGAATCTTACCCTCAGCCATAAGAACTGTAGTCCTTTAAGCTGACCGTAGTATTTCCAGTTCACAGAGAAGTGAAAAACCTAAATACCTTTCAGGGTTTGGGCCACTCAGGTTAAGAGTAACCAACATGGAAGCAATAGTTGGGGTCTGGCCCACGGTTGCTTTTGTTCCTTTTCATGTGGTGGAATATGTGGATTGTTTACAGGCCTGTTAAACTTTGGACAGCAGCTTCCTCTTGCACTGCTACTTTTATTAGCATAGCTATAAATTGGGCAAAAACATTTTATTACATGTTCTTTTAACGTTTAACCATCACATAGGCAGTATCTTTTGATGCATCACAACCCCATGGGGTAACCACATGGGGTACCAATTTAACACAATACCCAGGAATAAAAGAAAGAAATCTAGTTAGTTATAGATCTGGTATTTCTGTAGTGGCCACTGGCTGTCTGATCTGAAAGCTGAAACAGTGTTCTCCCTTAAGAGAAAGGATTTCCTGGTAGGTATTTATACAGTCATAGACATTAAGGGTTATGGGGCCCAAACACCACACCCATTAAATCCAACCACCAAATTAGTGCATCCGGATTTTGAACACAAGCCGATCAATTTTCTAAATTAATCTTTCTCGGCTCAGTATCTTAAAGAGACCCTAAAAATTAACAGTATTTCCTTTGGCTCCAATCAACTTCCATTTTTAACTCACCTGATATTCCCTTTAGAATTCCTGTAATCCATGGTATTCATTCAGCAGTCCAGATTTTAACACCTTCCATTCAATATTTAGGTTCTCTCAGTACTCACTTAAAATGCTTTAAGATATTTGAACAGTCTATAAATGGTGCTTTACTAGTACTCAAAGGGTCTGTATGATTTACTTTATTATATAGTGTATTTAATACTTTATATATTCACCTACAATGCACAGTATTAGCTAAGTTCATCTAAATAACTGT